AAAAGTTTTACCTCTTGAAAACGAAAAACAATTAATTTAAATTAAATTAGACTGATCAATCACACGTACATGAGCTTAACCAGTCATTTTGTTGTGGCATCACTTATATGGCTAATTTCACGATATAATTATATCGATAATGATATACGACGTACTTTATGAGCACCCAATGTCCCAATATTTTATTTCACTCAGAATATCTAAAGTTATTTAAACTCGCTATAATAATTCACCCCATAATAACTAATAATTAACAAATAAACTAGTAAACCACTAATAAAAACCTGTCTGGTTTGACAACGAGGGCTTTAATTTTCATTTAGTTCTTTTTCAGGTACCTACCCTACTCAATTCCTGTTATAAATCATTACATTTTTTAAACTGTGTTTGAGCTATATTATTAATAATTTATATTCCTGGGAGAATTTTTATATGCAACACTAATCAAATTAAAATAACATTATAGAATGATCTAGATTTACTGTAATGTATTCAAAACTATTTAGAAAAGTTTTAAATAATATTTTACCACTGTTGACACATTCATAGATAGGATAATTTACATAATGTGCGATTATTTGAGATACTTTTAGATTCTGAACAGAAAGATGAATGTATTGATTTTACAATGTGTGTTTTTTCATAACATACATACACTATAAGTAACTTCAATATATTTTTTGGAGGGACTTTAAGAGTTCGAAATAGGAAATTTCCAAAAGTTTTCAAAAGTATTGGAATAACCTAAAAAAAATTTAAGAAAAAACTAGGATTTTTTATCAGTTTATGACAAAATCAATTTTGGTTTTTGACTAACTCTATAAAAAAAAACTGTATACATATACAATTTTCACCGAATGTTTATACTTATACATTTCTTATACACCATAACATTTTCAATATAATTTTTATTTTTATTTGATTTTTTTACCATCATTAAATATATTTTCTCTAGGTTTCTCATACGAGGAAACGAAAATTAAAAGTTGAATTTTTTCATAA